TCGGCCGGGCCCCCAGCCTCAAGCGTCGGGGTCAGAGCAGCGAGCGCAGGTCCCTCCTCTCCGGGGAGGGGAAGGAGAGCTCGGAGGAAGGGGAGAGCTCGGACGAGGAGCACTCCAGCCGGGCTGGCAGCTTCAATGGCTCTTTGCCTCATCGCATGGAGTCGCTGGAAGCAAAGGGCTCCTTTGACCTCCAGGATACTCTGCAGGTGCCCTCCCTGTACCGGACCAGCAGCATGCACAGCAGCCGGACCTCCGCCTCCGAGCACCAGGACTGCAACGGGAAGACCTCTCCGGGCCTGCTGCTGCACCAGCTCCACCTGGATGACCTCCGACAGGACTGCGATGACTGCGACGATGAAGGCAACATGGTAGGGAAATGCCAAACGCTCGTTTGGGCTTTTTTCCTTGTCGAAGCGATGCATGTACCGCGCTCAGGCTCACACGGGTGGGTGTGAAGCAACAGCCCACCGCAGGGGCTGGGTCTCACCAGAAGAGCACCAGAAGGTCTCTGAGCTGTGGATGCCACCAGAAGTGGGGTTGGCATCGTATTAAGTATTCCAGTGTGGTATCAGATGGTTCATGATGGAGAGATCAGGGCCAAGGTCTCCAGGTTCCACTAAAGTCTGCAAAGCAAAGGCTGTCTCTTGGAAATATATTCTTCGCTGGTTTTCCTTTTTTCTTTTCTTTTTTTCTTTTTTTTTTTTTTTTGAAGAAAAAAGTAACTTTCCCCACTCTCCAACCATTATTCAGCTTTCTGCGCCCACGCACAGCAGCAGACAGTTCCTGTTGACATCAACAGGCAACAAAAGGGCAGGGCTTGGCCCCCCATTCCCATGGCAGCGTTAGTCCCGTAGAGACGCTGGCAATTTCAAAGGCTTTGCATTAATTACAATGTGAAGAGGCATTAGGCCAACGAACGTCTCTCTTTTAAGGGGCTTAAAAGTGCCGTTTAGGAAATGTTAGCTAAAAGGGTTGCAAGCACAGGGAACTGACAAGGGTCCCTGGCTCTTTTTCCATGTGAATGTTTTGTGTTTTAAGGGAATAAAAGGAATTTGGCTGCTTTTCCAAGGTTTTTTTCTTTTGCATGGCTGGCAGAGAGGGGCCTGAGCTGGGCAGCAGGATGCTTGTGGGGAATGTCCCATCGGGACGCCGTTGGGACAATTTTGGAGGGTTTTAGGATGTTTTCTGCCCTTCCTAGATTACCTCTTCGTTTCACTTTGCCTTGATCTCAGGGTTAAAAATTCGGTGGTCTGATGTGTTGTCTCCGGGGGGTAACTTGGTTTCTGTCTGGCAAAGGGACAGCTCTTGGGTAGAGCCGATGATGGGAACCGGGCTGGGACTGAGAACAGGAAAGCTGCAGTTTGTGGACATGATTTTACTGTATTTCACTGAGTTTGTTGAATGAAAATGCAATTTGGAGCACGTGGAGGGATGCAAAAGGCAGCAGTGACTCCAGAGAAGGAGCAGGAGGAGAAAGAGAGTTAGTGCTGGCAGAATGGACTCATTCAGGCGTGAACTGCCTTTAAAAAAAGCCATTATCCCATTACATCTCCAGCATAGATCCTCAGCCTGGGATTTTTACTGATTGTCTTAACCTGGTTTTTAACCTCCATTAAATAAATTGGATTTTTAAGAAAAGGAACAGTAATTATTTTTGGGAAAAGCTCTATTAAAAGTAATCAAGAGACCATGCTCTTTATTGCCAGCTAGGGATTTATTTTTATGCTCTAACATCTGCTGCTTTTTCCAGCTCACCTGGTCCAATCATCCCACAGGTCCCTTCCTTTCCCCCTGCCAGATCAGAAGCCAGCAGCCCCCCGTGTGCTGGACATCGTGTGACAGGACATGTCAGCCCTCTCCTGTCCCACCCAGCCCCACAGCTCCCGCCAGCGCCCATGAATGAGATGCGTGTTTTTAATCTCTATTATGGCGCCTGGTTTTGGCATAAACCAAGTATCTTCTTCTGTGTGCCAAGGTCTGGCCAAGTAGGGTTGGACCAAAGGGTCCCTCAGTCTGCTTCCATGGAGTGCTCAGAAACAAATGCCTAGGGAAAGCATAGGCAAAATAAGCTAATTAAATCATGCCCCAGCCTTAAAACATGCCCCAGCCCAGGTTATAGCCACAGCCGGGACATCCACGGCTGGCTGGTGCCTTTCCCCATTCTCTGAAATACGTACTCGCTGCAAAGCACTCAACCAGACGGATGGGAAAATATTGCTTAGATTAGTGAAATGAGTCCCCAGGTTGTGGAGTCCCCTTTGTGATTCCCTCCTGACGTTTAGGGGGATGCTTTGCCCCTAGATTAGCCTTGACAAAGTCAGAAAGAAAGTGATTATTTTTTAAATGGAAAAAAATAAAATTCAAAACTCTCCCACCAACAAAAGAAGAAAAGACCTCGACTGTTATTCAGATCAAAGTAATCCTAAATATGCCCTTCTGCAACACAGCCTCACATCTCTCCTTGCTGGCTGGTTTTGATTGCCTCTGTGCAGAAATAAAAGGAAGTGCAAAGGCTCCATTTGGATCTCCCAGGCTGCCGTCCTATTAGCGCCGCTCTGCTGCCTTCAGTGAGTTTATTCAGAATTTACATCCTTCTGAGGGGCCAGAATCGGGCCCCTTTATAGCTATTTTCCCCAGAAGTACAAAATCAGGGGACTGAAATCTGTTCTTCATTGCGTGAGTGCAGACAAGGAGGAACTTCACAGAGAGGGCGAGCTGCTGCCTGGTTGGGTTCCCGTGGCTGTGACCGAGGTCAGGGATCTGCTGCGAGGTCTTTGGTGTTCACATCTGCTGGATTTTGGATGCCTTGGCGTGCTTTCCTATCCTAGAAAGGGGAGAAAACCTCGAATTGCGGACTGCTTAGAGTGGAAAATAGGGAAATATTGAATCTACATCCAAGTGTGTCCCCTCCTCCCAGAGGACAAAATCCTCGTTGCAATTGCAGCTCCTTTCCCAGTTGCTTATTGCACTTTTTTTTCTGTGGCTTTTTATCCAGCCCCTTCCCAAACCATCACCGACTCG